AGAACATTCAAAACCCTGACACATAACCACAAGTGTGGCAATGCCCTTAGCTATATCTAAGAGTCCTCCAGTTCTAAAATAATATGAAAAGGCACAGACTCTAAAATCAGATACTTAGTCTGAATTCTGATATTAGAAGGTACTTCAAACAGGATATAGCAGTGGAAACTGTGATCATAACTGAAGAATATATGTGTAGTTAACCCCAGGTCAACATTAGGAGGGAAGCAGATACGAGCTAAGTACGTTTAAAACACATTTTTTATAAATCAATAAATATTAAATTTTAATCCAAGCCAACCTGTATGTATCATATTTAGAATATCAGAAAAATAAAGTCCTAAAATTTTCTGATTAATTTTGTTGAAAATTAGAAATTATTCTTATTAAAAACACATTGGCACAAAACTGGGAATATTAGTTAATACAATAGAGTAGACAAAAAAAGTTGAAATATTTTGTGAAAGAATGAAATTAATTGATGCAATTTAAGTATATTAAATGTAAGAACACAAATAAATGTAAAATTATGAATTTGCTTATAACATCATTCGTGGCACAAATGACCAAGAGCACTGCTGCTAATCACAATGTCAGTGGTCCTCGCATATATAGAATCACATGGTAAAAAATGTTTGATGATTGACTACTGAAAAATCAGTCTTGAAAATCCCTTTGCGGAGCATGGCTTCTCTTTTAAGACACGTGGAGTTGCAAGGAGTCAAATAAAGGTCAACTATTTTGTCTTGTTTTGTTTTTAATCATGTGCAAATATCAATAGGGCAACATATGACAGTAATTTTATATTTGTGGAGGAATGTCAAAGCAAACACACTAAGAAAAATATAATTGCCTGAAAGATCAATGTAAGGAGAGAGTTCGCTAAGATTATCAAGGGCATTGATGGTCTTCTCCACAGCATTTATTAAATAATATGCTCACATAAAGAAAAGTAAGCATTTTTTCATGTTGGTGACTGCTCCTCTCTGTTTTCCTACCAACAGAGATATAGTTGCCTTCTCTGAGACAAAGGTGTCCTCTTCCTCCCACCTTGACTTAAATTTCCAAAAAAGGTTTCCATAGCACTTATGTGTGTCTGTTGGATTGGGGTAACCTGAGAACACTTCCGTATGGCAGCAACTGAATCATCTTCTGGGAGAACATACCTGGTACGAGGTTCCAAATTGTTCACTTTTGACCTAGTTTCGATATAGCCCGTGGTAACTGAGGCCACGTACTATAGACTACTGGGATTTAGACTCTGTTCCTTTGAGGCAGACAACATCCTTCATAGGTTACACTCAATGTGGAAACCCCACTAAGTGAGCTGCGCTTTACCTCAAACTCACTTGTATTCATTATACCTAAAGCTGAACTCCCTAGTGTGAGAAGAAGCAAATGACTACCAGCCCAAGGACCAAACACTGACAGATGTTGGCCTTCAGTCCAAATCTCTTGCCTTGGGAGTGCCCAATGAATTGTGGCCCTGAACTACCATATACTTAGTATTTTAACGTCCTCCTTGCTTCGTCGTCCCATACTTTGATTTGGTAGGTGTGGGTCTGTTTTTGTGAATGAATATTATTGGAATATTTCCCCTATAACCAACTCCTACTATTTGTATAATATTGTGTAATCACTTAAGTGTTTAATTTGTAAAGTAACAATTCATCTAATGGGGTTTGTAACTCGCCTATCCTCATATAATTTCTTTCTCAGCAGTGTTTGCAATTCTATATCATTGGCTGAACTAATGAAACTATCAACATGTAGTAGCTATGCATTGGGCTGCTAATCACAAGATCAGCAGTTTGAAACTATGAGCAAGCTCCCCAGAGGAAGGATGAGGCTTTCCACCCCTGTGAAGATTTGCAAGTTCAGATACTCATAGGGCAGTTCCACTCTGCCCTACAAGGTCTTTATGAGTCAACATTGACTTGATGTCACAAGAAGTGAGACCCTTGGGCATGATTAGGAATACTCTCTAACATAAAATGATAATGATCTCTCCACAGCTGATCAGAGACATGATTAAACCATAGATGCATGAATGGATTTGGGGTTAGCACCTAATTCTCGGCCCAACATAAGAATAATTAGCTCTTAATACATGCCTCTGGTTGATGCTGGACCTCATGAAGAGATCAATGAAAATATGGATGCTATATAAAAGTATGGTGATGAAAATAGATGGTGCTCAATGATCGGAAAGAATCGCATTAAAAAAAGAAAAGAATACCATCTAGGGTATTAAAGGCTGGTTTTCAAACAAGCAGCCATGCAGGTGAGTCCACATGGAAGAAGCATAGCAGCCTGTGTGGTCCAAGGATTGTAGATAATATAATCTAAATCTAAAGGTGGGAACTGCATTAGAGCTTAAATTGTGAACACCTGGTTTGCACACACCTGTGGATAACATTAGAAGCCCCAAATCCATTTTCAGGGACCACATATGGATTAAGACTCCAGTGAATGCCCTCTGATCAAAGGTGAGGGATGTGAATAGCCTTGTTATCAGACAGAAAGCATTGTAAAGTCTATTATGACAGACATGGTTAGGTCAAAATGTAATATCTTGTAATCTGTTCTCCCTCTTAACCCATTTGAAAGCTTTCAGTTAAGAAAATGTTCTTCTGTATATGAAACCCAGGATAGGTAAATCTATAGAGATCACAACTGGATTCCGGGTTCCTTGTGGCATGGCAGGAGATGTTGGGGAGTAACGGGTTACTTATAGCAATGAATAAAGAATGAAGAAAAATTTTAAAAACGGATTGTGGTAATGATTGCACAACTTTTCTTGATGTGATTGAACTATTGAATTATATGTTATATGATTTATATGCTAATATAACTATTGGGGAACATAGAAAAGTACTATGTACATGGTTTTCTGCATGGGTCTGACACATCAGGAACTTTGTATAGAGAGTGATTTTGCATTGCCAAAGGACTCAGATTACTGAGTCTGGCAGCTAGTCTTGTCACTAATTATAACAAAAATCATATCTGAAATTCTCCTCAATCTCTTTGATAATCTACTCTATATTTGTGATTTGTAATTTGGGGGTCCTATGATTTGCGTGCAGTATAATGTGAAATGAAATGCGATAACACACACAAATAACTTAGCAAAGGTTTGTTGCAGGATTTTGTCATTATTCCAGTACCATATTTCTACAGAGAAATTCAACAATCAAATTACATTTGGGAAAGTACAACAAACCGTTTGGAGATTCTGTAAAGCAAGTGACAAAAAATGTATGCAAAGATATTGAATACATTATGCCACAGAAGAAAAGACTTAGAAGAAGAACAACATCTTTGAATATCAAGTGACAAGTAAGGTAAATTTCATCTGTGTCCTCCAGAGGATAACTGGTCCAATTATATGGACATTGTTAGAAGTAAGATTCTCTGTCATTCTATAAAACATTTCAACAATAAGCCATCGTGATTGTCATTGTTGTTAGGGGTCATTGAGTCTCTTCTGACCCCTGCCCACTTTATGCACAAGAGAAGGAAACACTGTCTGCCCCTACCTAATCCTCAAAATTGTTCCAATGCTTGAGTCAATTATTTCTGCCAAAGTGTCAATCCATCTCCTGGAGGGCATTCTCTTCTCACTGCCCTGCTATTTTAATCAAACATGATGTTCTCCAGGGACTGGTCTCTCCTGACAACATGTCCGAAGTATGTAAGATGAAGTCTCACCATCCTTGTGTCTAAGGAGCACTCTGGCCTTACTTCTTCCAAGGCACCAAGGCAGATAGGTTTGACCTTTGAGCAGTCCATGGTACTTTCAATATTTTTCATGAGCATTACAATTAAAATGCATTTATCTTCTTTATTAAATGTCCAACTTTCACATGCATATGAGATAATGGAGGATACCATGCCTTGAGTCAGTCCTCCAAATAACATCTTTGCTTTTGCAGAATGTTTACCTAATGCAACACATCCTTTGATATCATTCCTGCTGCTACCATGAGCATTGATTGTGGATCAAAGCAAGAAAAAAATCCTTGACAATTTCAACCTTTCCCCATTTATTGGTCCATTGGTGAGGATGGTGGCCTTTTTCACATTCAGTTGTAATCCATACTGGAGACTGTAACCTTTTATCTTCATCAGCACGTGCTTAAAGTCCTCCTCGCTTTCAGCAAGCAAGTTTGTATCATCTACATAATGCAGGCTGTTACTAAGCCTTCTTCCAATCCTGATGTCACATACTTCTTTACTGTATCAGGCTGCTCCTCTGATGATTTTCTCAGCACACAGATTGAATAAGAAGGGTGAGAGGATACAACCCTGACACACACATTTCCTGAGTTTAGACCATGTGGAATTCCCTTGTTCTGTTCACACAACTTCCTCTGGATCCATGGGCAGCAGGTTCCAAGTAAGCATAATGAAGTGTTCTTCTGAAAGTTAGCCACAGTTTGTTATGATTCACAATGTCCAATGGCCTGGGATGTGAAAAAAAAGTAAACTTTCTGATATTATTGGCTCTCAGCCAAAATCCATCTGACATCAGCAGCACTATTGTTTGTTCCAAGTCCTCTTATGGACCCAGCCTGAACTTCTGTGGCTGCACTGTTGTGAAATCATCTTCAGTGAAATTCTACTTGCATGTGACATCAATGATCATGTTCTATAATTTGAGTATTCTGTTGGGTCACCTTTCTTTGAAATGGGTACAAATATGGATTCCTTCCAGTCTATTGCCTAAGTCACAGTCTTCCAAATTTCCTGCTGTACATTAGTGTTTCTCCAAGTGCTTAATTTGCTTGTTGAAACATTTCAACTTAATCTGTTTTGTTTATATATAAAATTGATACTAAATTTAAATCAAGCATAATATCATTTAAGCAGAACCTGAATTAAATAAATTACTCATTGACTATTTATACTATTTTATTCTAAGCAGATAATTACATTCATTTTAAATAGTAAACACAATTTAAAACATTTGTTTTCCATTTATTTCTCCATCTTACCTGCTGGTTTACAGGAAAATTTCTGTTGATTTTTTTAATCTGCAATGATAATAGATAAGTAAGTCATTAAAAGAACAAAAATAATTATACAGAAGACAACAATGTTAAAGTACCATAAAATCATCTATATCTGTATGGCACTATCTTTTAGTGAGCTAATATCCAATATCTATGAATTTAACATTTAATAATCTACAATTATATTTTATAGTTATAATCTATACTGTTTCTACATATGTTTATATAAATCATGTATTATATATAATCTATAGAGATTCTTTCTTGGATATGCAGAAATTATTAAATAGCACATGCTTGTTATGAATGCTCATTTATTTTGGTTATCAGAATTATCTGAAATTTTGTATGCTAACATATAGAAAAACACCTAAATCTAAAAATTTCCTGGTTTTGTTTATGGAAATAAAAGTTTGTGCTACCATTTAATAAGTGACTATCTACAATGAATATAGAGAGCAAATTTTCTGTAGTTCTTTTTTTTTCTAATTTCATTTTAAAATCATAATGTATCCAACTTATATTATCATGCAAAGGAGAAGAGGAAACAGAAAATTCAAATACTGAATGATAACGTATATGTGTTGAAATATTTTCTGTGTAATTCCAAGTAAAATAAAACTTTTACTTTAAGCCAAATTAATGATTTTGTAAGGATTTAAAATGCCTTCAGAAAATACATTTTTTTCTGTAGCATGTCATTGAAGCAAACATTAAAAATCAAATAAATATAAATATGTAGCCAGAAAAAATCACCCTAAAATACAAAAAAGTCTCTTCCTACCAGTGTTTTGGCTGATTAAAACAAATTATTTTTCATTTAGTATTTAGAGAAAGTTAAACATTTATGGTTTTTGGTAGAATGATATTTCAGAATACATCATTTACATCAGGCTAACTATTGATACATGACTAATTTTCACTCATAAATAAATGTTGAATTATTTTATACCATCTCCTCTTCCTTTTGTTTTCTTTCGTCTTATTAGAAAATCTGGAGTAATGGATCATTTCATAAAAATGGAGTACAACTTTGGAGATTTCTCAGATAACTCCTCTGCAAGAACAGGTTTCTTAAATGACATTAAAATACTGATTGTTAAGATATTCTCATTTAGAAATGAGAAATAAAACACCTTCAGAAATGTTTACATGATTTGAACATGGTCAAGTATAAATCATACCTTTATATTGATATTATTTCAAGATAGCCATTTTCCCTGATGAGGAATTATAAAGGGAATCACTAAAATTACTCATTCCCATAAGTTAACACTAGGTAAATATAATCACAATGATTAAGGGTTAGGCTACACAGTCAATTCTTTGGCAAAAGCTTTGTGATAGCTACCTCTGCAACTACACCACTGATACAAGAGTAGCAGCTGACACGGCTTATTGTTGTATCAGGTGTCATGGAGTTGATTCTGACTCCTGAGGGCTCCAGGTGAAACAGAATGAAACACTGCCTGGTCCTGCACAAGTCACACAATTGTGTTTGATCTCTGTTGCAGCCACTTTAGCAACCCACTGTGAAGCTGGTTATGTACATCCAAGCACACTGTTGAATTGTGCTCCTCAGTTTAAAGACAAGGGTTCATGGCACATCCCAGTTTATTGACACAAAACACATTTAGTGTTTCAGTTCTATCTCTTCATTTGTTGTTGAGTCTATGGTGTCTTACAAGCTGGCAAGCAGTCATCCAGTGTACAACAATTAGCCTCTAGTCACCTGAAGCCACACGAAGAGGGAGAGGTGGAGATGGAGGAAATAGAGAATGTGTGGCTAATTGCCTCCATGATCTCTTTGGTTATGATATCAAAACTGGATCAGGCTATCATTACTGAATATTTTGATCAACTACTGTATAGAATAATCCTGATCAAGAGGGGGGAAATGCAGAATGGAATGTCAAGTTCTCATTAAATCTAGATTTTTTTGGATTTGCATGACCCACTGAAACCGTTGTCTTAAGATAATATTAAAAATTTGAACTTAAATATACCCTGGATTCTGAAGTCTTCTTAACACCAAACAACAAAACGCAGCAGTATGGAGTAAATTCTGACTCATAGCATTCTTATATCAGCTTTGCTAGGTTGTAAATCTTTGTGGGGTCAGATTGCCTCGTCTACTACCAATAAAACTACTGGTAGGTTTTAACTACCAGTGTTATAGTTAGCAGTCTAATGTGTGCCCAACAGCAATCCAGAGCTTTTAAAAACCAAACATAAATAGTAAAAAAATAAAAGTCAACTTTGAGCTTTACCCTCTTTTATAGACCTTATGTTAGATCTCTCTGGAGCTAGATATACCTCGGTCCTTGGCTCTGCGTAAGAAATAATTCACGCCGAAACCTGGTTCGTGATCCAAGTGAGTTTTATGAGTATTAGAAGAAGTTTCAGATTTACACAGGCACCCATAGGACTCCTCCTGAACATGCAGCCTGCCTGGAAGCTGCTCGCAGAGTCCCCCAGCCCTACGCAAGCCTACCTAACATATCTATAAATAAGCCCCAAGTGACAATAAGAGTGGGACGATTAGACCTTAGTGTGCAGTGAGTTTATATGAAAGGGGAGGGAAATCTCACAAAAAGGATGGTGAAAATGGAAGAACAATTCAAAGAATGTATTCCATGTCATAGGATTTTGCATACAGAAATGTTGAATCAGTACGTCTTACTAAGTATATTTCAAAAAACAGCAAAACTAAAAACAAACCAAAACATAATACATGGACTGAAAATCAAAATAAAACGTTGACAATTTATCAACAAAAAGACAAACAACTCCATAAGAAAGTGGCCAGATGACTGAATTACCGTGTCGTGAAAGAGAACATTTACATGAAAATATGCTCCATGTCATTATTAGCTATCCAACAACGCCAATCTCCTTGTTGTCTAGTCAATTCCACTCATAGCAAACCTGAAGCACAGAGTAGAACAGCCTGAACTTCAGAGGCTGTAACTCTTTATGGGATGTTAGATGGATCTTGACTGAAAACAAACAATACCAGAAAGATTTTCACTTATGTTTTACTATGCCAAGACATTTGACTGTGTGGACCGTAATGAACTATGGAGAAAAATGGGAATTTGAGAACCCTTCATTTGGCTGATGAGGAACTTGTTGATGGAACACCAGGTAGATGTGTGAACAGATGACAGGAATCCTGCATGGTTTAAATCAGGGAAAATAGATGTCAGGGCTGTATCTTTCATCAAATTTATTAAATGCCGAGAAAATAATCAGAGGAGCTACATGATATGATAAAGAAGAATGGGGTATCAGGACTGGAGGAAGATTTAGTAACAACCTGCAGTGAACAGATGATACAGCCTTGCGTACTGCAAGTGAGAAGGTCTTGAAGCCCTTGCTAATGAAATCAGGATTACAGCCTTCAGTATGGATACAACTCACAGTGAAGAAAAGCAAAGTCCTCAAAACTGCAGCAGGAGGTAGCATCATAAGTGGAGAAAAGGTCAAGGATTGTGTCTTTCTTGGGTCCACAATCAATCCTCACAGAAGCAGCAATCAAGAGATCAAAAGACATATTGCATTAGGTAGCTTTTACGCACCTGACCTCTTTAGAGTCTTGAGAAGCAACGATCTTCCTTAGAGGACCAAGGTGAGCCTGACCCAAGGCATTGTATTCTCTGTTGTTGCTTCATATGCAAGTGAAAATTGGACATTGAATAAGGAAGACCAAAGAAGAATTGATTTCTTTTAACTATGGTTCTGGAAAAGAACATTGGACATACTATGCACTGGTAAAAGGACAAACTGATCTGCCATGGAAGATGTATGGACAGATTTCATCTTACATAGTACTTTGAACCCGTCAGGACAAATCAGTCCCTGGAGGAGGATATCATGTTTGGTAAAGGAAAGGTTGGAGATAAAAAGGAAGGCCCTCAATGGGAGATTGACACTGCCGGCAGCAATGGGTGCAAGCACGGGGACAATTGTGAGGATGATGCAGGGCAGCATAATGCTTCCTGCCCAGTGCACAGGTCTCTGTGGGTCAGCCTGGGCTTGATGGCACCGAACAATGAAAAATAAGAAAACTGATACATCGATGACAGGCATAGATGAGAAGTAGAGATATAAAAATGCATATATTAGATACATGATATAGATAGATAGACATGATATAGATAGATAGATAGATGATAGATAGATAGATAGAAAGATAGATAGATAGATAATTATAGAATGAAGGTAGCGTTCTTGCTTTTGTTTGAAATCTAAGTACTAGCTAGTAACTAGCAAGAGTGGTGGAGTTAGAAAATTACCATTTCGTAAAAGAAACTTTATAGTAAAGACTGGTTTCTGCCAGAGTCATAAACAGTAGTCAGAGAATCTAAGGAGAAATCTTTTTTTTTTTTTTTAATATGGAACGATTCACGAATTTGCGTGTCAGCCTTGTGCAGGGGGCCATGCGAATTTTCTTTGTATCATTCCAATTTTAGTTTATGTGCTGCTGAAGCAAGCACAAGGAGAAATCTTAATGAAAATAAGGATATAGTCATTGTTTTAAATTGTCTTTCTACAGCTTTCTAGTTTCAAGGGATAAAATCAATCAACAAACAGGAATTGCACTGTGGGACAATAGGACAACACTTTTGAGTATGTGCTCAAAATTAACTTCAATTAAAAGGGCAGATGGGCATTGTGTATTTCCACATGTCATGCCTTGAGGACCAAAAACCATTTATGTAGTATTCAAGCCAGGTATGAGTAAACAGAATCTAATCATGAGGAAATGTCAGATAAATGCCAAGCGGGGACATTCAATTAAATGAAGAGGCAGGAGTAGGAGTATTCAAAAGCATCAGTGTCATAAAAACATTAAAAATCAAACAACCCTGAAATATTTCAGATAAAAGGAAACTAAACACTTGGTAACTAAATACAAAATTTACTCCAGGACTAGATCCTGTACTGAGGGATAAACATGGTATAATGTGGAAATAGGATTTTATAGATGATGGTATGCAGATGTTTTGTGTGTTTTCCTCTGTGCACTTCTGCTTTAAGGATTCAGCTATTTTCTTAATAAATAGTTAATCATGAGAGTGAAGGCCAGATTTCTGTGGCCAAGTATGTGCATAGGGGGTCCCTAAAATGAAGGTGCTGGATAGAAAAACCCCAGCTCTGTATCCGCAGATTCATGTTTACATACCTGGAGAGAAAAGATCTAAAAACTCTTTCCTGTGACATATATTAAGTCCATAACCATAAATCAGAGTAATAGAAGTGGGCACAAGAGTATATACTAATTTTAATTATAAAATATATAAGGGACCATATCTATCCCGTAGTTGTAGAAGTCTGGGTGATTGCTTTTGTGGAGACAGACTTCGTGATCTGGCAGAAGGCTGAGAGAAAAGTGGGAGACGCCGGACTTCTCCAAGCAGAAGCTGAGTGTATGTGTGCCCGTGCCTCCTACACATAGCCCACTTGTTATTTGACCTGTTCTAGTGTTCCCAGGAGGTTTGCTGCTGTCCTTTGGACCACTCACTACAACATCAGCAGGCAAAACCCACCAGCTTCTCCCTTTGAGACCACTGAAGTGATTTGCTTCTGTAGATATTGACATCATTGTATAGATCACTATGGGTTGGAATACATGTGATGACAGTGGGTTTACGGCATAGTGTTCACAATAGAATATTTCTTGAAATGCAAACTATAGTAAAAAAGAAATAGATATATGTATATATATAGATAGAGGAATATCCTGATCTCCTAATTTAGAAGTGTTTTCTATAAAATTTACATTCCACTGGGTCAGGCCTGAAGGACTGTATAGTTAAAGAAGATAGAAAATAAACACAGACCAAGCTTGGGATTATTCATTAAAGTTCACATCAGTTTACAAATGGATCTGGAAACAAGTAACACAGGATGTATTTTTTCGATCACGGACATTGGAAGTGAAGTCATTTCTCATGGAGAATATTGAGCCTTGGGATCTCAGAGATCTGCAAGGACTTTGACACGCAGCATTTCAATCAGAGCAGCCAGGGCATCCATTGCTCCCTTTGTACTTTCACATTTTGATGTGTGAGCCAAGGTTAGAGCAGGACCAGTGACGCAATGTTAACATGTAAGTGTCCATCCCACAAGGTGTAAAGAGAGGCAAGAGGGGCCAGTGCTCAACTGCACATTGTGTTTCCTTCAGGCATAGTTTAAAATAGCTAAATAGCTGCACTAGCCTTTGCCACGTACTGTTCAAATATCAGGAATAAGTTCTCCAAAAAATGTATACATTGATTCCATAAAGTAAATACTATAACAGAATTCTACAAGTGATTATACACAAACTTTAGACAACAACAACAACAAAAAGTACATACAGGAAATAGCTCCATCTGTAAAAGGCTTTTCCTGGTATTCCTGCTCTCTTTTGTAGTTACTCAGCTGCTGGATTGCCCAGTCCATGTCTGACCTACTTCTTGGCATAACCTCAGCAACACACACACACACACACACACACACACACACCTTCTCAAAACCCCCAAACCAAATCAGTTAGAAGCCTAGGAATGATGATCTGTGATTGCTCATCTCCTTAAAAGGATTCTGAAAACTATTGAAAAAACAACAACCTCCTGCCCAAGAAAAGATATTTACTAAGAATCAGAGAGGAGCACATTAAAACTAATATGATCCTACTCAGTTACATGACAAACCTGAATGTTCCTTCCTTTTTGACTCATTTTTCTAGATTTTGTGTATAAATAATGAGCAATATTTTCACTGGTTACTATATTGAGAAATCAATTGGCCAAAAATTATATTTTAAATAATGTATATGCCAATTATCAATAAATTAATTATATTATATTATGACTCATTGAAACAATGAAACATGTATTCATGAATTTTTAAAAGGTTATCTGTGAATATAATTGTTGTCATGGGCAAATATTTTTAATTAAATGTCAACCAAATAAATGCTGTATTATTTATTCAATGAATAGTAATTTTATTTATATATGTGAACTGGTAATCACACCTTTTAATGGAGATGCAGACTGTACACTTATCAAATAATCTGTAATACATACACTATTAACCTAGAATTAGAAATACAAAAGGAACACATTCAGCATATCTTAAAATGAAAGAAATGAAAAAATTCAAGACTTGAGTTGTAATATTGAAAGATTCTGTGGGCAAAATATTGAATGATGCAGGAAACATCAAAAGAAGACTGAAAGAGTATACAATCATGGTATCAAAAATAACTAGTCAACACTCCACCTTTTTCAGGAGGAAGCCTCTTAACAACAACCAATAGTATTGAAGGAAAAATTCAAGCTGCACTGGCAGCACTGGCCAAAAACAAGGCTCCAGGAATTGATGGAACACCAACTGAAATGTTTCAGCAAGCTGAGAGAGCCCTGGAAGCCTATGCCCAGAAATTGGGAAAATAGCTACTTGGCCAACTGACTGGAAGAGATCCATATTTGTACCCATTCCAAAGAAAGGGGACTCAACAGAATGCTCAGATTATAGAGCAATATTTTTAATAACACATACAGGTAAGTGTGCTGAGTATTATCCAACAATCGTTGCAGTAGTGGATTGACAGAGACCTGCGAGAGGTTCAGGCAGGATTCAGATGAGGAATTGAACAAGGGATATCGTTACTGATGTCAGATGGATCTTGGCTGAAAGCAAAGAATACCAGAAAGATGTTTGCTTGTGTTTACTGACTATGCAAAGGCATTTTATTGTGTGGAACAAACAAACTATGGAAAACCATGGGAAGGATGGGAATTCTAAGATACCTAATTGTGCTCATGGGGAACCTGTACATGGATCAAGAGGCAGTTGTGTGAACAGAACAAGGAATACTACATGGTTTAAAATCAGGAAAGGGGTGCAGTAGGGATGTATCTTCTCACCATACTTATTCAGTCTGTATGCTGAGCAAATAATGAGAGATAGTGGCTTATATGAAGAAGAATGTGGCATCAGGCTTTGAGGAAAGCTTATTAACAACCTTTAATATGCAGCTGACACACTCTTGCTTGCTGAAAGTGGGGAGGACTTGAAGCTCTTGGTGATGAAGTTCAACGATTGCAGTTCTCAGTATAGATCACATCCCAAATCTTGTAACTGGACCAATGTGTAAACAATATGCTAAATGGAGAGCAGATTGAAGATGACAAGTATTTCATCTTGCTTGGATCCAAAATCAGTCGAAAGATAAAATGAGGCATTTTATTGGGTAGCTCATTGGGTAGCCTAACACCTCTTACTATTATAAGGAAAAACAAAGAAGAAAGGTGACGTAAACCCCAAAAGACCATACTTTGATGACTCTGAAGAGGCCAGGGACACTGATGGCAATAGGCAGGGGACAGCACATTGAGGAGGCAGGAAGGAAAGAAGGAGGGGGAGAGGGAGAAAAAGCATCACTTATTTAGTGGGTGTACCATGATATTGCTGTTGATTTCATTTCTTGAGATTGGCTGGGAAAATATATACAGGATGTTTCTTTAAGAACAACCAAACAGACCTCCAAATTTCTTATATTCCTTATCCCTCTCAGTTGAATTGTGTTCTGAGTGGCTTTGAAAAAAAAAAAAAAGGAAGAAAAGTAAAACTAGGATTCTTTCTCAAAAAACTCAAACTTACTGCAATTGAATTAATGCTGACCCTGATAGTGACCGCCAGTGGGTTCCCGAGACTGTAACTGTTTATGGGAGTAGAAAGCCCAATCTTTCTCCCGTGGAGTTACTGGTGGTTTTGAACTGTCTACCATTTGAACCGCAGCCCAACACAGTAACCACCACACCAGCAGGGGTTCATTTAGATTATTTAGTGCCAGACAAGTTCACCTCATTGTTTGTTTGTTTGAGATGAACTACACTATACCTGCTATTAAATGAGAATTTACCATATACAGAATATTCAGTCTTTGTTATAAAAATATAGAGATAAAAGGAGTATCCTTAGTCCGGCCTCCTCAGGCACAGAACCTGGGGCAACCGTACACACATTAGATGCTCAATCTGAGAGAAGCGAGAGTAAAACGTAAAGAAATGAAAGACTAGACAATTAAAAGCAAAAAACAAAAAATGTGGAGAATTCCCTTTTTGAGTGGCGGCGTTGGTTACACTGTCTCAAGAAAGCAATGTGGGTGACTGATTAAGTACAGCATGCCTACAGGATCTTCTGCCATCACTGCATTTTCATCTACTGAGCAAGGGCAAGTACAGTCTATGCTGGTTTCTTGTGTCTTCACTTCTTTTGGACACAATGTAGTCCCTTACCTCACTGCGATGTGAAGCTCTGAGGAGATCCGGGAGGCAGTGGCTCATTCACCGGTGGCTTGCTTAGTCCCACTGAGGTGAGTCCCTGGCAGGCACTGGGTAGCCGGGCGTACTCATGTGTTAGGATGATAGCACACCCTTCTTCAGAGCTTCTATCTTTAGAACTCCGGAGCATCGGATCAGGGACTGTTTGGAGTGCAATG